GCCCGCGCCCGCGCCGCCGCCGCCGCCGCTGCGCCTGGGCCGTCCGCTCTCTCGTCGCCTGTCGTTCCGCAGCCCGGCCTGGGCCCTCAACGCAGCAGTGGCTCTTGCTGCACTGGTGGCCGCGGGGCTGGTGGTCTCGGCCGTCTACATCTTTTTTCTCATCCCGCGCGCCGGGAATCCTGCGCGCCCGCAGCTCGTGGTGCTGGGCCCGGTGCCCGCGGCGCCCTGGACTCCGACCTGGACCCCAGCCAGGACGACGGAGGCCGCGGAGGGGAAGTCGGAGAGGACCTGGGGACCCAACCTCGGGACTTGGGAAGCAGAGCGTGAGATGCGGGGAGCAGAGCCAGGAGCTGAGGCCGGTCCCAGCAGGGCCCCACGGGCACGCGGTGGCAGGAAGGCCAGGGGAAGTTGGTAATGGTAATGGTGCTGTCCTCAGGGCCTGCGGCTGCGGTCATCCTGTTGGCCCTGGGCAGGTTGTATGGCAGGCACCCCTTAAGTGGGAGCACGAGGGGCTGGCTGGGTGTCCCCACCACTGTCACTGGGAGCCACGAACCACAGCGTGGAGAAACTGCAGTCATCATGGCCGTCAAGCAGAGGGTGCCCAGCCCCGACCTTGGAAGGGTGCTGCCTGCTGGGGTAGCCGTCACTGTCAGCATCGTCACAGAGCCCGGGGGGAGCATCATCCTGCACTTCTGGAGGTTCTGGCCCATGAGTCCCTCAGGCCACTACAGGTGACTGCCTGGATCACCGCTTCTACTCCCTGGACATCCGGAGACAATGGTCCCACAGCTGGTCTGTGAAATTGCATGTGTACTTCCTGCAGGCTGGGCCTAGGTCCACAGCTGTGACCTGCACAACTGGCTGGAACTCAGGCCTTGAGGGGCAGAGGTGACCTGGCTGGGGCTGGGGAGGGCCCTGCATCCACCCTGGGCCCAAGATCCACACTGCTGTAGCACTTTCCCCGACTTTCCCCTCTGCATCCTGGCTTCCAGATCTCAGTGGCCAAACTTCCTGGCTAGCTGGAGAGATCCTGGCCTGCCTGCCTGGTGCCAGAGCCCCATCTTCCCCAGTGACTGACTCCTCCTGCAGGACTCCATCAGCCCTGCCCTGTCTATCTCTTCTTGTCTCAGCCTCCCCAGTGTGCAGCAGACGGCAGGGAACAGAGCGCTCAGGTTTCTGCCTTCTCCCATAAGCCTTCCTGGCATTTTTCAGAAATGTAGACTTCTTTGCAGCGGGAAGCTCCTGCTGATTGGTCACATGTGTTAGGCGTCCCTGCCACAGCATGCAGTGGGTGCTGATGGGTTATGACAGGGTGTGACAGCATCTCAAGTGGCTGACAGGAGCTTGGGAAGGCCTGTGGGCACCCAGGCCTGCAGGCTCCCAGCGCCCTGGGCCCAGGCATGTCTACAGACCTAGCTAGGTGCAAGCTGCTGCTTCCTGCTGATAGCCAGAGAAACATCAGGAGTCCCGGGACCTGTCTTCCCAGACAGGCTCCCGGCCATGCCTGCTGCCAGCGGCACTTCCTGGGTCATAGGGAAGCCTCAGCCAGCCTCACAGTAGGGGAGCTCGGTCTGCAGGTGGTAGCCAGTTAGTTGTCTCTGGCTACTGTAGAAAATTAACCCCAACTCAAAGCCTTGTAATAACAGACATTATTTACAATATTTCCACTCTCCACTACTGGGGATTGAACCCAAGGCCTTTGCACTGAGCTGTAACCCCAGCCCTTTTTTATTTTTTGAGACAAGATCTTGCTAAGTCCTAAGTTACCCTGGCAGAGTTTGAACTTAGGGATTTACCAAGCTGCCACCTGGCCACAACAGGTCCATTTGCCTTTGTGCAAGCCATGCCAGCTGCCAAAATGCCAGCTCCTAGGTGTGCTTGAGCGTACAGATCCAAGGTCCCTCCTCCGGGCAGCCTTCCTGGACCACTGTAAGGCAGAGCCTCCTCCCTTTCCTCCTCCTTTCTTTCTCCAGCCTCCCAGCTGGGAGCCTGGGGCCTCATTCTCTCCTTCCCTAAAAGGAGGCTGAGGACAACAACTACCTCAGTGCCTCCCTGCCCCACAAGGGCTGCGGGGAGCCGGCTTCCCCTTCCATACTCTCCTGGGCTCCAGTTGCATCCTCCCTCTGCCCACTCCATGCCCGGTGCATCCCCTCCCACTAGTACCCTGGTCTTGACACCGGGCCTCTGCTCGCTGCTCCTCCCAGGAGGAGGGGGCAGCCTGAGTGTCTGGCTCAGGCCCGGTATGGGTAGGGGTTAGTTCTCCTTTCTGAACATGGGCAACAATAAAGCCACTGCTTTCCCAGAAGTCATTTGTCCACAAGTATTTATGGAACACCTGTTGTATACTAGGGGTGCACTGGGTGCCCCGGGAACCAGGATCAGCCTTATGCGGCAGTAAGGGCTGCACAGACAGACACCTTGTTCTGGCACTGCTCTCCCCAGGCTCGTGAACCTCCACTACGTGAGCCTTTCCCAAGTGCATCCCCCAGCTTCCTCCCGTGCTCCAGGAGGGACACGGCCCGGGCTGGGGGGTCCATCCACCAGTCCCGCCAGCCTTTTCTCTCGAGGCTCCTGGCCTTTGGGGAATACTCCTGTGGCAGGCCAAGGAACTAGAGGCCAGAGAGGAGCCTCACCGGACCCGAGGAGCAGCAATGTCCAGTCTGACCAATGGAAACAGGCTGACCAGTGGGGCAGTGTGGATTCAAAATCCGAGTCCAGGGAGGTTTCGCACCACAGCAGCATGCCCTGGCAGCCTCGCTTTGCACTTAGTTCTTGGGTACCTCCTTTCCTCGAGTCTAGGTCTTCCATCTGTCCTGCTCCCACAGGGGGCCGAAGGGTTGGTTTGGGTCCCAGTGTCCATCCTGTCCCCACCCCGTCCCCCCGTACCAGGGATTGAACTCAGGACCTTGAGCCACTGAGCTTCATCCCGGCTCCCATCCGAAGGGTTTTTAAATGACTCGAGCTAACTGAAAACTGGATTTTGGGGCCGGGGACTTAGCTCAGTGGTGCCGCCGCCAGCCTTGCAAGCACGAGGTTCTCAGTTCAATTCCCGGTACAAAAAAACTAAGTAGGAAACTGCATTTTGGGCTCGGAAGGCAGGATTTTCGTTGCTGTAGCAACTGGTCCACCTTTGTTGCGCAGGTTCGCGCGGGTCAGCTCGGAGGAGCAGGCTGCTCTAAATTAGTGGCCGATCTGAACCTTGAAGTGGGTTAGATGCAACTTGGCTTCCTAGGGCCACAAGGCAGGTAGAACTAGGTGGGCTCCCCGGTGCTGGCGGCCAATCAGGGACCAGGGGGTGGCGTTGCTATAATGACCGCTAGGCGCCCGAGAGCGGCCGCTGGCACAGAAAAGGCCTGAGGAGCTGGACTACAGCCGCGAGAGCAAGGTTGCGGGCAGCAGAAGTGAACAATGAGAAAAACATAGGGACAACAGCCGACCTCACCGAGAAGGGGGCCGTGCCATCACTGGTCTGCGCTTGGACCAAGCGCCGTTCCCCCCCGCCCCCGGGCTCACGTGGTGGAATAAATCGTCTTTGAACGTAGACCCTGTATCGTTAAGAATACAACCTAGGGCTGAGGGTTTAGCTCAGTGGTTTCGCCGCCTGCTGCGCAAGTGCAAGGACCCAAGTTCGATCCCCGGTACCAAAAAAAAAAAAACCTAAACTCACATTCGAACACAGATTATGTTTGTTTGTTTGTTTTTTGGTACCGGGGATCGAACTCAGGTCCTTGCACTTGTGGGGCAGGCAGTGGAACCACTGAGCTAAATCCCGGCCTTCGAATGCAGATAATGAAGCTATGATTTTTTTTGTTTTGTTTTTGATTTTTGAGGCAGGGTCTCCCTTTATAGTTCAGGCTGGGCTTGAACTCACTATGTAGCCCAGGCTGGCCTTGAACTCTTGGTGATCCTCCTGCCTCAGCCTCTTCAGTGTTGGGATTATAAGTGTTCATCACCACGCCCAGCTGCGAAGCTATGATTTAATTGTTTTTGTCCTGAGGATTCAATCTAGGGCTTGCACTGAACTGCAGCTCCCACTCTTTCTTATTTATCGATTTATTTATGGACAGTCTTGCATAAGTAGCTAAATTGCTCAGGATGGCCTCTGTCTTGAGATCCTCTGGCCTCAGCCTCCCTAGTAGCTGAGATTGTATGTTTGAGGCCAATGTGCTTGGGGACAGCTTTGATTGCATTTTAATTCTATCAGATTTCAGTACTGGTAGATACGTGGATAAGATTGGGGACCCGAATGGGCTGTGGGACCCTGTGAATTGATTGCTGTTCTCTCCCAGGAGTCATCTGGGATCTGGATCCCCCTCCTTGGGGACAGATGCTTCCTGGGGGAGCAGGGTCTTGCTTTGTATGCCAGGCTGGCCTCGAACTCACAGCGATCCTCCTGCCTCACCTTTCTGAGTGCTAGGACTACAGGCATATGCCATCATATAGGGCTTGCTTCCACTTCAATGATCATAGAAAATTCTACACTGGGTATTAGGCTTTTCCAAAGTATGTCTCAGAGCTGGGGATTTAGCTCAATAGTTCTGCCACCTGCCTCACAAGCTCAAGGATCCGAGTTCGATCCCCAGTACCACAAAAACAAAGTATCTCCCAGAAACTTTTTAGAATACAGCTTTATTGAACTATTATTTGCATACCATAGAATTTGCTCATTTACATTTACACAGTTCTGTAACAGTCACTATCTAGTTACAGAACATTTTCAGAAAGAAATTTAATATACATTAAGTTACAGCTTCTTCTCCCCTCAGTCCCTGGCAGCCATTAATCTATTTTCTACCCCTATGGATTTTTCAAATCCTGGACAATTTGTGTGTGTGTGTGCACACACACGTGCACATGGATGCACACACACGCACAGGGCTGGGGCTCAAACTCAGGGGTGCTGTAGAAGGAGCTACATCCCCAGCCTGATTTATTTATTTCTGAAGCAGGTCTCCCTAAGTTCCACAGGTGGGCTCAAACTTGTGATTCTCCTGGCTCCAGATCCCTAGAATTTGGCTTTACAAATGTGTGACACCGTGCCCTGCTTTTCCTTTTTAGTACTGGGGATCGAACTCAGGTCCTTGTGCTTGCACAGCAGACAGCAAAACCACTGAGCTAAATCCCCAGCCCCTGCTTTTCCTTTTTAAAACAGGTATTAATAGAAAGCCAGGCTAGGTCCTTTATGAACTTCATGTTCTGAACTTCAAGGTATCCTCACAGATGCCTGACAGATGCTGCCTGTTTTCCAGGTGTTGGTACCTGTTATGGCTGTCTAGATATATCCCCAAATCCTCATGCAGTCATGGGTGGGACTTTTTCAGAGGTGACTGGATCTAGTGTGTGACACTGGAATTGATTCATGGTGCAGTGCTAGAATCAAGGGCACTAGGATTAAGGGTGTGAGTCGTGCCTGCCCTAAGTAGCCTGGATAAGATACAAGGGACAGAAAGAGCTGTGATCATCCCTTGTTGCTTTGCTACCTTCCACCCACCATGAACTGTTTCTCCTCTGGAATGCCACCCTGCCTTGGAGCCAGCTAATTATGGACTGAAACTTCTATAAACTGTGAGCTAAATAAACCTTTTTATTTCTTAACTTTGGATGTTGGGTATTTTGTCTCAGCAATGAGAAAAGTATCTAAGACAGTGGACTCACCACATTTTGTAGTAAGAAGAGTACAGTCTTTCTGCTGCCTGTCCTGCAAGCGCAAGGACCTGAGTTTGATCCCTGGTACCAAAAAAAAAAAAAAAGAAGAAGAAGAGTACAGTCTTGAGGAAAATCTTGCTCTTCTTTTTGCCAGTATTAGTTACCTAGTGCTGCCCAATAAATTTTCCCACACCTAGAGGCTTAACGCAATAAATATTCATTATCTCAGTTCATATGGGCAGGAACTCAGAATTAGTTCAGCAGCCAGTTCTGGCTCCAGTGCCTCATGAGGTTGCAGTCATCTGCCAGGCAGGAGAACAGACATCTGAAGCCTTGTCTGCAGCTGTAGGACCCACTCTCACCACTCTGAGGTCTCAGTTCACCACCACATGCCAACAGGCTTCCCTCAGGGAAAATGAGACAAAAAAACCAAAGAAGGTACCATGCCTGTAATCCTGGCACTTGGGAGGCAGAGGCAGGAGGACTGCCACAAGTTTGAGGCCAGCCTGAACTACATAGCGAGACCCTGAAGAGACAGAGAGACAGAGACAAATAGAGACAGAGACAGAGAGGTATAGACAGAATCTCACTATATAGCTCAGTCTGGTCTCGAACTTGCAGCAATCCTCCTGCCTCAGTCTCCCAAGTGCTGGGATTACAGGGATGAACCACCACACCTGGCCACAATGGCTTTTGTGACCCAGTCTCAGAAGTTACCCTCTATGGTATTGAGAACTCCGAATGCTATTATGGGAATGGACTGTTTAAGAATATGACACAAGGAGATGAGATGTACTGGAACAATCTAAAGGCATAGCCAACAGCAAGGTTCTTTTTTCTTCAGCTGAGTAGCTCTCTTGGGCCTGCTTCCTCATGAGAGGGTCCAAGGCTTTTGAACCAGGCTGAATCCCTAGGGAATAACCCTGTCAACCTTTTTGTGCATGTTGGGTAGGAAAGGGAGAAACCAGTGCCAACTGCAATGGCAGCAAGTGGGGAGAGTGTCAGAGCTGAAGAGAAAGGGGAAGAAAAATGATTGTGGCTTCATTCTTACCTATCTCCAGGGCCCCCAAAACATGGAGGGTGAAAGGAGGAATGCAGCCCTGGAGAATAGTAGAGGGGGGTCCCCTTACAACAGCTGGCTTTTAGCTGGGTGTGATGGTGTACACCTATAATCCTAGCACTCTGATAGGCTGAAGCAGGAGAACCATAAGTTCAAGTCCAGCCTGGGCAACTTAACAAAACACTGTCTCCAAAACAAAATAAGGCTGAGGCATGATTGCCATCAGTTTCAGGCCAGCCTGGGCTACACAGTGAGTTGAAAGCCTGGACTGGATAGTGAGACTCTATCTCAAAAAAACCAAAGCAGGGCTGGGGATTTAGTTCAGTGGTTTTGCCACCTGCTGCGCAAGCGCAAGGATACGAGTTCAATCCCCAGTACCCCTCCCAAAAAAACACCAAAACAAAACAAAAATAAACCAGTCAAAGGGGAAAAAATCAAAACAGGACTCTTTTCTCTCTTCCAGGACTCAGCTGTTTCCCAGGACTCTTACCCCCATGAATCATGGTGGAATTGGACTGAGAACCTTTCCTGCAGCCATCTGTGGGTCTCCAGGTCACCAGTGAGGGAGTCCTGGCAGGGTGACACGTGTGCTAGGCACTGGCCAGCCAACTGCCAATCACGTCAGGGAACAAGGATTTGAACAGACAACTGGTTGTGCAGCTGAAGATCCAGTAGGGCCCTTCCCCCATGCTTCCTGGTACCAGCAGGCACTGGCTGAGGGGCCAATGTAGCCTATCTGTTTCTGCAGCAGAAGACCTGTGCCAGGATCTTTCCTGTCTTATAGCCTAAGAGAGTCACAGCAGACTGCTAAGTATGCCAGCCAGCTACTGCAGCCAGCCACAGAAAGCACGCGGTGAAGGGCTGACTCAGCAGGCCTGCCTGGACTGTCCAGACCCTACCCATTCTAGAGATGTGGCCCTGTGCTCCTCCGAAAGATGTCTCTGAGTGCTTGGAATATCCTGTCTACATACAGAGCGTCCTGTGTACCTGCAGCCTCGGTTCTCCACTCCCAGTAGTCCACGCCAGCCTTAAGGGGGGACTTGAGGCCACACTGCATCAGTCTGATCTCTGGGGCAAGTGGAGACAGTAATCTGTTAGACGGGTACTGATGTTTCAGTTACTGTCTCCTAACAAACACCCTGAGCTGCCCTGGCCCTGAGCTGCCTTGCTTCCACACCTCATTCCTGGGAGCATTAACCTCGCTCGGTCCATGGGGCTCCACCCGGACAGCCTCCTCGACCCTGGCCACCTCAGCCGTCGCCTTCTCCAGACACCTCCTCGGTGCTTCCCGGGCTGCTGGTCCCGGGCTGCTGATTCAGCTCGGGCCGCGTGGCTTTCTTGGATCTCGGCCTCCCGTTCCGTTGAGTGGACAAAAAGGCAAGTGGGCTGAAGGTGGGGCGGCTTCGATCACAGGCCGGTTTGCCAGAGGCCTGGGGGCCACTCCTGCGCGGGGCGACCAGGAGGTCCCGTGCAGTCGCTCCCCAACGGCCAGGGACACCGCACCTCAGGCAGAGACAGCTGTGGCAGGAACCCAGCGTCCAAAGGCGCAGAGGCTAAACCCGCCCCCTTCAACCTGCCACCTCACAGGTGGAAGGGCTGCGCCAGAAGTCCCGCCCACCGGTGGCGGGGAACGCCCTCTTGGGCCACCATTGGCCAGCATCGGCACGTCGCTACGACCGGGATTCTGGGTAATGTAGTTTTAGCCCGTCGTTCCAAAGTGGCCACTTGGGTATCCGGGGAGCGGCCCGACTGCCCCGGGCGGCTCTCTGCGTGCTGGTCCGAGTCGTGGACTCAGTAGCGGGATGTTCGAAGGGGCCCTGGCCCATGAAGCTCGACTTCCCCCGGAGGCAGCATCTTGGACCGGGTCCGCTTTCGGCAGACGGGAGCTGGTGTCCGTCCCGCCGGCGCAGATGTGGGCGCGAGCTGATCCCCGGCAGTCCCCGACGGCCCCGGGTGGCTGAGGGGCCTGGCGCCGGTGAGTGGGCGCTGCAGCCCGGCTGCCAGGTTCCCTCGCCTCGCCTGTGCGGCTGCCGGGAGTCCTCGCTGCCGCAGGGCTCGGCCTGGATCCCGGGAGGCAGCTTCAGAACTGAGTTTGGCGGGTCGAGTGCGAAGTGTCCCAGGGACGGGGAGTGGCGGCCCCTTGCGGCCCGAGGCTCCAAGGTGCCCCGGTGTCCGAGCGGCGGAGCCGAGTGTAGAGCAGAATGCACTTAGGTGGATTCGGGATGGTGGGCGTCCCGAGAGGCTGGGAGAGGAGACGCCGGCAGGTGCTGATGTCGCAGAAGCTGCCTTGGACGAGACCTACGTCAGGACACGGATCCTGGGCTCCCCAGGACCAGCCGACCTGGGGCAGAGCCTGCAGCCGGGCCGCGATAGAGGAAGAGTGTGGGCGAAGTCCAGGGCGGGCACCTCTTGTCCTCCTCAGGACCTGGGACTGGTTTTGCATTTAGGGCTGTGGTCACACAGTGGCAGATGAAGTCCCTGGGAAATGGGCAGGGACCCAGGTCCAGGGTGTCTGCCAGCGGGCTGGGCACCCAGTGTGCCTCAGGAGGAGAAAGGAAGCTTGGGACTGCTGAGGGGACAGCAAAGGCAAAGGCAAAGACAGAGAAGGCCCTGGAGACTCAGAAGTCTGTGAGCGGTTCTAGGTGACTTTTTTGGTTTGTTTTTGAGATAGGATCTCACTATGTAGCTCAGGCTGGCCTCCAACTCATAGCAATTCTCCTGTCACGGCCGCCCAAGTGCCATGATTGTAGGCATGCACCACCATCCCCAGCATCTACCTAGGGGTGAATTTGAAGCTAGAAATAGGAGCAAGTGAGTAGTGTTCAGTGCGGAGGTGCAGGCAGAATGGGAGCCTAGGTGCTCATGCCCGGTAATTTTGGAACACTGTATGCAGAGCAGCATGTAGGGAGCCCAGGAAGATGCCTGTGGTGGTAACTGCTGAGGTTGTGCTGGGGATTGTGGAGCTGTGAATATGAAGAGTACAAGGAGTTATGTTCCCACAAGGTGGGAGGGCAGACAAAAGGGCACTGGAGCCATGTACGTGGTGCCAAGAAGAAAGGTTATATAGGTTTGGTTGGACCTGAGATATGGTAATTAGGCAGACACAGGGCAAAAGCAATTGGCTGGCAGAAGGGTGGGGACCATCTGGTCACCTGTGGATTGTTACTGTGGGCTGGACACAGTTTCCAGTAGTAAACCAAGAAGAGAAGCATCAATGCCAACCAGAGCTGGTATCCTCCCTGAGGTAGAGGCTTAGGGAAAAGGTGGTATCAGGATGTATGGAAGAGGTTTGTCCTCTAGAGAATTAAGATATACGTAGGACATGTGACAGGATCCTTTTCTGTCAATACTCTGGAAGTGTCCATGGTTTTCTGCTAACTTGTTTCTTGAACTTTGGTTTTCTGCTTACTTGTTAACCTCAAGAATCAGCTGAACTTGTCATTGCAGGGCCTGGTGACACCTGAGGATGTGGCTGTGCATTTCTCCCAGGAGGAGTGGAGGCTCCTTAAGTGGCTCAGAGGCACCTGTACCATGATGTGATGCTGGAGAACTTTGTTTTTTTGGTACCTGGGATCAAACTCAGGACCTTGCACTTGCAAGGCAGGTGCAGGTGGTGGAACCACTGAGCTAAATGCCTGGTGATGCCCGAGAACTTTGAGCTCATTATCTCACTGGGTAAGTCCTCATGCACTCCAGCAGTATACCAACCCCCTCTGCCTCTTCTGCATGGAAATTCTCTTCATTCCAAAGATGGACCACAGGGTACTTCCTTCCCAGATTCCCTGTGGTTGATGTGGATCCTGGGACTGCCTTGTGTAAGACCGAGGGCCTTACCAAACCCTCCGAGGAGCTGACTGCAGTGAAGAACACCTGGGAAGGAACACACCGGACAAGTTGGAGAGTAAAACAGACCTTAGTCTGGTCAGACGGCACTCCCAAAGCAAAGTAGCTTAGAGAGGCGACTAGCCCAGAGTCCGAGACTCTTTTTATAGGGGGTTGCAGGGGAAGTTAACAGGTGAAATTTACAGAAGAGGAACAAAGGTTAGTGGTCAGCTGACACGTACTGATGGTTAGCAGATGTTTGTAGATTGTTCTATAGATAGCGGTGTCCGGAACATCAGTTTCGAACAAAGAGTTGAGTAATTTACTTTGGGACCTTATGGCTGATACAGATCTTATCTAGTGTCCAGAACTAACAAGCATCTTTATCTATTTACTCACATTCACAGTTGGGGCTAGGGGAATTTTATGATTACAGAGTTATGCAGTCCCACACTTGCCTCCCTGTGAGCAGCTCCCGCTGCTGTTGCCTTCATAGGGTCAAGTTTGGGGGCCAGGTCTTTTGCAGTGTGTTCAACTAATCCCACCAGTTTCAATCTGTCCCTGCTTGATTGGAGCCATGGCTCTTCTGTGCTTTTAAGTTGCCCTCTTCCTCCACAAGTCTTTCTCTTTTTCTCCTTGTGCTGGGAATTGAGCCCAGGGCCGCACTCACACCAGGCAAGTGCTTTACCACTGAGATGCATCCCCAGCCCTTTCTTTTTAAAATTTTATTTTTGTGAGGCAGGAGGATCATTGTGAGTTCAAGGCTAGCCTGGACTACACAGTGAGACCCTGTCTGTCGAGAGATATTCTACATAAATTTTGGGGAAAAATCATTTCATAATTAAAGTATGACTATAGCTGTCTAAGGCCCAAGGTCACCTTGCCCACGAGGTGGCTATGGTGTGCAGAAACAACTCATTTTGCCTCTGGTCACAGCTGAGGTCTCAGTGGTCCCCTGATGCTATCTCAAGGGGAGGATTACATCTGCTGAAGAGGTTCTGGTTCTTTGAGAACCAAATAGTAACACAAAAAGAGAAAGGTTTCACCTGGGGAGGGACAAATTTTTTGTCAGCTTGACTCATCCCACCTATTAATGTAAGAATGCTGTCCTTACCGCTGTCATCAACATAAGAACCTCATGACCTAAGATCCTCTTCAGCATAAGATCTGCGTCTACATAGAATTACCACTGCCCCTGATGCTCCCTCCAATTATTGTATTCATGTAATAAATAATGGCTACCTCAGAGAATCTGTCTCTGCCCACTCGGAGTCTGGCCCCTGTATAATTTAAATTACCAAGTCTCTGTTGTCTTTTTTTTTTTTTAAGCCCTTGCTGTCCCCCTTTTTAGTTAGTCAGAGGATTGATCGGCCTCCAATACTTGTCTCCTAAAAAAAAAGCTAAAATTTTACTTTTGAGACAGTGTTTCTTGGTTTTTAAAATTTATTTATTTACTTACTTATTTTTGGTACTGGGGATCGAACTCAGGACCTTGCACTTTTGAGGCAGGCAGTGGAACAACTGAGCTAAATCCCTGGCCCTACACAAGTTTTTATGCAGGGGCTGCCATGTGCTAGGTCAAGCCTATCTGTAATATGCCATTTTCACATGTTATGTTGTGCCCAGATCGCGAGGTCCCCAAAGACCACCAAGGAGCCGATTCCGATGCAAACACACGAGGGTTGTTTATTCAAGCTCGAGTAGGGACTCTCAACTGTCACCGCGCAGCGGGTCAAGATTGAGAGCCCTGACTCTAAAACACCAGGGGTTTTTGTAGAGGTTACAGCAAGGCATGGGGTTTCAAAAAGGCGCAGGGTTTCAAATCACATGCAAATCACACAATTGGCTAGCATTTAGCAAGTTTTGAAAGTTTAAACCTAATTGGTTGGGCCTTGCGCGCTGAACTGCAAATGGCTGCTCAAGTCATCGAAAAGAACATCTGGGATACTGGGGTATTGGGGTAACTACTGATTAGCTGTTGCAGGCCATCGAGAAGAGCATCTGGGACATTGAGGCAGCTACTGATTAGCTGTTGCTAGGCTAGTTGCTAGGGGACTGCTGAACATTATCACAGGCAGGTGGCCAAAGTACATCTTGTGGTTTTTCTTGGAACTAGAATTTATGTCCAGGGCACCTTACTCTAAGATGGGGCCAAATTTTAAAATGGAGTTACTCAGGTCTCACAGTTAGATTGCCACATATGCCCCTCTGGCTTATGGCTGTGGGGGACAGTCAATACTTCGTGGGCTGGGGATTTAGCTCAGTGGTTCTGCTGCCTGCCTCACAAGCACAAGGTCCTGAGTTCGATCCCCAGTGCCAAAAAAAAAAAACCCAAATACTTTCTTCATGAGAGTCACTCAGTGTCCATTGGCTACACGTTTAGGCCACCTGATAGTTTATGGTTAGGTGTTTATCCTCTGCCAGAGGCCCAGTAGTAAGGTAGAAACTTTTGCCAAAGTAAAATAGTTATCTACAGAAGGTCTGTGTAGACTTGTACTTTTTACTCGGCTGTGATTCTTTGCTGCTTGCCAGTTTCTTGATTTGCCACAAACATTTCGTGTCATTATTTCTGCTGAATCATAAGCTCACATTGTAGAGTAGCCTACACTGCAACCTGAACTTGTTTCAGGGCCTTCTTTCTGGTTCCACCAAAAATAGGAAGCTTTTTTTTGGTACCGGATATTGAACTCAGGACCTTGTGCTTTTGAGGCAGGTGGCTGAACCACTGAGCTAAATTCCCAGCCCTGGAAATAGGAAGCTTGATGGATGATTTGGCAATATAGTGGTACCTCATTTCATGAACTTGATTCTTTCCATGATTCTGGTTGCAAACTGAGTTGGATGACAACCAAATCAAATTCAGTGGTGCCAAGGATTTAGCTCAGTGGTTCCGCCGCCTGTCTCGCAAGCCCAAGGTCCCAAGTTCAATCCCCAGTACCTCCCCACAAAAAAAACATCAAAAGCAAATTCAGTGATTAGGAGCGAGGTGTGACAGCATATGCCTGTAATCCCAGCACTCGAGAGGCTGAGACAGGAGGATTGCTGAGAGTTCAAGGCCAGCCTAGGCTGCATCGTGAGTTCAAGCCACCCTGAACTACATAGCAAAACTCTGTCCCAAAAATCAAACAAATTTCAATGATTAGGTTCAATGTTGACCTTACCCGGAAATTTGACTTGGTTCTTTTTTTTTTTTACTTTTATTTCCATTTATTTTATGCCTAATTTATTCCCGTGCCATAGTTTTTGTTTCTTCAGTTTCTTCTGGGATATCTTTTTCTTCTGTGCAACTTCCTCCTCTGGTTTAGGAACAATTTGTTTCTTTTCAGTAAGGATCATCTCAATATGGCAGGGGGAGCTCATGTATGGGTTAATCCAGCCATGAGCTCTGTAAGTACAGTGGCACATCTTGGGTGCTTTGTTCACCTGGATATGTTCAATGACCAGAGAATCGACATCTAAATCCTTAAGCTCAGCATTACTCTCTGCATTTTTAAGCATGTGCACCAAAAATTCAGTACTCTTTTTGGGCCACCAGCCCTGTGTGCAGCCCCACTGTTTGGCCTGGGCATACCTACCAACTCTGCCATTGGAATGCCTGAGTGGCACACATTGTTTCTTTAACGTGACCTCCTTCAGATACTTGGTGGCCTTTCGGATATGCATACCCTTGATGGCCTGGGCAGTTTCACGGGTGTTCTTAAAGTGAACAAGAAGATTTGAGCCTCTTGATTTGCATGATTTTGTGGGGTTTTCTGGGTCAAGAGAGTAGCGAACCATTTTCACAGGCCACCTCTGGCCGCTCACAGGAGAGTTGACTTGGTTCTTGTACAATTCCATTTGGAAACAGAATCATGGAAAGAATTGAGTCTGTGGACCAAGGTACCACTGTATGTAGTTAAAATTAGCAGATTCACATATGATAGTGTTGGCTGCAGAATCCAAAAAGGCCTGCCAGGTGTTGGGCTTCTTTGGTATGGTTGCTGCTGAATCCCCAAGGACTTCACTGAGATGTCAGGGCCCTGAATTTCTGTGGATTTCCTGTCCCACCCTTACCAAGGTATCTAAAATACTTGCTACTTCTTGCTCATCAGAGCTACTCAGCATAATGGCATCCATGAAGTGAGGGAATGTGGTGATGTTTCTGGAGTGTTAAGATCAGGATCTCTGTGGACCGTATTGTGGCAGAGAACAGAATGATATGGTCCTGAGGAAGCATATGAAGTGCCCTGGTGGACTGGCTGAGAGCACATGGTTTCTGGTGGTCCTTTGGAAATAGTGTGGAGAAAAGGCACTAGTCAGTTCAGCAAGTGCATGCTAGAGCCAGGGGTCTGCGACTGTGTTGCAGTGAGGACAGTACTTCGGGAACAGTACCAATAATTGGAGTCACCACTGGATTTAATTTACTATGGTCCCTGGTCATTCTCCACAGACCCTCTAACTTCTGCACAGGCTGAACTGGTGAGTTAAATGGGAATATGGCAAGTACTATCACCTCTACTTCTTTCAGGTCTGTTATCTTGGCACTAATCTGCAGTTCATCTTGCAGTGGTCTGCTGTTTCTGGTTTAGTCTTGGCGAGTGTGGAAGCACCAGGGCTTTCATTTAGCTTTTGTTGTATAATCACCCTCACTGGCTCAGGACAGTGCTATAGGGATTCTGATGCCTATCAAGTGTACCTGGTCTAATTATACACTCAGTAACTGGGGAAGGAACTGTAGTGTAGGCCAATGAACCAAACAGGTTCATTGAGATGGCTTTTTGGCAGTGGGGGAAGTTTCTGAGAGCTGACCCAGGGCCTTCTCACCGAGCCACATCCCTTTTCTATTTTTTAATTTGAGACAGAGTCTCACTAAGTTTTCAAGTTGCCTGGGCTGGGCTCAAATTTGAGACCCTCCTGCCTCAGCCTCCCAGAGTGCTGGGATCACAGGCCTGAGCCGCCACACCCAGCTCCACTGAGAGTTTCATGTAGCTAAGGCTCCATCTGAAGGCCCCCATCTGAAGCCCCTGCTTCCACTAGAGGATCATAATGAGGTTTTGAGTCTTGGGAATTAGTGTCAATTCAGAGACAATGTCTTATAATCTTCCAAAGGATAACTGCCTATCTCCCTTTCCCCAGCGCATAGTCACTCCTGTGCCTGGCT